TAATAATAATAATAATAATAATAATAATAATAATAATAATAATAATAATAATAATAATAATAATAATAATAGTAATAATAGTAATACTGTAATACGTAATAAAATTATTAAATTACACATGAAAATTTTTTTTAATATATTTTAAAGAATAATAAACTTAAAATTTAAAATTTAACGCGAATTTTTTTTTTTAAAAAAAAAGTTTTTTTTTTAATTTAAATTATTTGTTGTAATAAAAATAAAATAAAACTGCTTTTTTAAATTTTTACTTTTTTGTAATATTTTATAATTGTACTTAAATTAAATTATATATTGCTTTATGATTAGTTCGAACTTGAAAAAAATTATGATTAAGGTGCAATAATTAGAACCAATAAAATCTTTTGCGTACGTGCGTATGTATAACATATGTACGGATCAATTTTAACACACCGTTTTTCAATTTCCTTATCTCCTTATTTGGAAGTATATTTAAAGCGAATCAACTAAAATTAGGGTTAAGGTTAGAGTTAGGATTAGGGATTGAGCAATAGTTATAGATACAATTGCCCTCCTGATATTTTTTATTATTGCTCCAAGGCAGGTTTAGGCTTTTTTTATCATTTCATAAAAACTTAAAATTTGGTTGGTCAGTCAATGCAAATCTCAAATAACAGATAAGGGCGTATCGGTATGTATATACGCAAGTATGTAACTGGTTACCAAATTCACGTGACTGTTAGTTGTGCGTTTTTGTGCGTCAAGGTATATAATTCGTCTCTTAAATCAGAATTAACAAAGACATTTGTAAGTATTAAATTATCTCACAAACGAAAAATGATACATAGTAATTTGCACACAATTACTGTACAAACATTTTAATATGTATTTTAGCACCTGTAGTGGATGTTTGTCGATGTAAATAGTACCCGAAGGGATTACTTTTAATTTTTTTTTTAACCCGAATGTTGCTATTTTGCCGAGAATTACGGTAACACTAGCGATATTATCATATCTACTTATATTATTGACGGCTTTACCGGTCCAATGCACATAAATGTCATACCCGATCCGTTCTGTAAACCAGATTATCCTATATCACTATGAACCCGCGCTTAGTCTGTAGTATGAAAAAAAAACGAAAGCACGTGTTATTTAAGTTCGATGCGATACCTTCAGTAATCATTATATAATAAACCATGTGTACGTATCACATTTAAAGACGTGGATGTCCCAAAATAGTTTTTATACGTTAAAAAAGGAGAGAAGACATACAAACATATAATGTTAGGTAATGCTTTAAGGAGTTTTGGGGATGAAATCTTAGGTTATAAAAAAAGATTAGATAATCGACATTTTAATTAGAAATTGTGTTTGTTTATTTAGGAAATAAATCTTAATCATCAATTGACATTTAATAAGCACAAATAGATATATATTACTAAAAATAATTTTTCAATAAAATATATATATTTTAATAATAATGATTATTGAGTATACCAAGTTTACTAAATTTTCATCGTTGCCAAGAATTTTTTTAAATCTTTTAAGGATAACTATTAAATTTATCAATGAGAAAAAAAGGAATATTCTAATAATATTTACAATAAACATTTTAAAGATTATTTTCGTATTATATAATTTACGGTCGTAAATAGATACATATCTGATATTTAATTTCATTTTTATTATTATATCGTTATTATGTACTCTCAAAATTATATTTTGTACGAAAAACAAATTATAACGATAAGCTTGCGTAACATTCAAGGTAGACATTTGAGATTTCAAATGTATTAACAGTAATACTATTGTAATAGCTATGTAAAAAAAAAAAAAAAAAAAAGGAAAAAAAAAGCAAAAAAAGAGTCTACTATGTACAGTTAACAAAAAAAAAAAAAAAAAAAAAAAGAAAAAAAATATGCAAATATTAGAATATGTATAGTATTAATTAAAGGAATGTATGTATGTGTGTTACAGTCAATGATATGAAACATTAAAATTTTGTAAAGCTGAAATCTAGTTAAAACTATTCAAATTTGAAAAGAAAGTGATTTTAGTAGTACTACAGTAATCAGTAATTGTCAAAGCCAATTGCTATATAGACTATTTTTTTTTTTTTTGTTTTTTTTGTTTATTTTTTTTTTTTTCATTTGACTAGATCGGTATTTCTACATCAAACTCGTGATATCCATTCAATTTTTTTATCGATAGCTCACGCGAATTATAATTATTAAAGTGTAGAAAAAGTTGTAAAGTCATTGTTTTTTTTTGAACTAAAAAAGTCCACTTAATAGAGTTTTGTGTAAAACTCACGCATGATGTTAGAAGAAGGGATCGGAGGCGGCAATATCAATGATTGGCCACAATGAGAAGTAAATTGAGAAGAATCAGTATCAGGTAATTTCCACGTTTGTAGGTATATAGAAGGAAGGTCAAATGTCAATTTTTGTTGTTGACAAGTTTGAGCAGATACTGGAGTGTGAACAGAAGAAGAAGAAGAATCTGAAGAACAAGTTGAAGAAGTTGAAGTTCTTCGACCATGTTGATCTCTTAGTCGTCCATGAATAGGGATGAATTTGCAAAGTTCATTGAATGTAGCAGACATCGGTTCATCATAAAAGACATGTTTATCATCGTCTTCGTCAGTTTCCATTGGAAGGAATGAATAAGTGGGAGTAAAAGAATTATTAAGGTTGGTGTCACGAATATGGGAATGATTAGAATGATTAGAATGATTAAGGTGATTATCGGAATTTGGAGGTAACGACAACGTATTCACATCCGAATTGCATATTGGGAATGGTATTATACGTGATTTATCATAAGAAGGAAGTGAATTATTTCGTCGTGGAGATGCACGAAGAGGAGAATAAGAAAGCGGTTTTTGACGATGATGAAATTGTTGAGATGCAGATGATGAACGTTGATGATGTCTCAGAGAAAGAGCTCTTTGAGGATGATCAACATTTATCAATGCTTGAGGTCTGATATTTAATTGTGGTAATGTTTTTAAAAGAGGCCCAAGATGTAATTCTAGATCCGATTTATGAATTCGAAGGTCATAATCAAGTAAGGAGAGAAATTGCCTTTCCATAAGATTAACCTTAGAAACTGTGTATATGCCAGAAAATCTAGCCCAATATTTATTTCTGGGAGAAGAATCGTTCAAATATTTTCTATAAAAAAAAAGGTGAAAAGCGCAGGTTAGAAAATAATGAACTAAAAAAAATATATATATTTAATATTAATTATAATTGTAAACTTACGAAGCAACTATTAGAGTGGCGAGAAAAACTCTGTGACGCGTGCAGTGCATGCCTAAATAGAATAATTAAAGAATAAAAATCGGTTAGACTAATTGTTTTAACGAATTTCTTTAATTTTTTAAATGTGAAAAATTTAAATCATTTTTTTAAAACGTGAAATATAATCAATCAAATCGAAATTAAAATTATCATGTGATGAGCTCGTATGGTCACATGTTCGGGAAACATAATCGAAATCCGCCATTATAATAATTATAGTAATAAAGAAATAAAGAAATAAATCGAATACAAACCTCTTGCGAGTTTTGGCAATTTGTTTCTTAGACGATCCAAGTAAACTATTGTTGTGAGGAAAGTGGCAGTTGAAACATTCGATTTTACTACTAATCGGTGTATAAACGATATCAAAGGAGGCAAAGGCTGATTATCATCACCAAGAGCTCGTGTTATATTTGCTAACTGAGAAATTTGCTGTTGATTAGTTGGTGGAGGGTCGCATGGGATTACTTCAGCAGCTTTTCGAGCAACATGGGCTATTAAATATATAAAATATACAGTAAGTTAAAAAAAAAGAAGAAAAAAAATATACAGTAAGTTAAAGAAGAAGAAGAAGCAAGAAAAACTTACCAATCATTTGAGGAGTTATATGACCGCTAACCAAGAGTTTCAAAGCTGCGTCAGTATCCATTATTGAGGAAACGAGGCAGATAGTTATCTTCTAGATCAAAGTTAGAATTTGTAGGCCGTCTCAAAGTTTAGTTATTTAAACTTTGATGGAGAAATGAATGGTCTTTTATATCAAAGAATAATAGACGTGGATAGCGATCAAATACGAAATTTATAAAGAAATTCAGACGATGATTTTCAGTACAGTAATAATTTTTAAATGATCATTGAAAATAATGTAATATTGCTTGGCAATATAGAGTTTATAATCTTTTTTTAACACGCACGAATATAAAAGAATTAAGAGTATATATATAGTTTAGAAAGACTGAAGATATTTTCTTTGAATTGATATTTTAAAGATGAAGGCAACACTTTTTGTCGATGATATAAAAAACAAAGCTGAAAAAAAAAAAAATAAGAGGGATTTACTACATATATATATATATTATTCGGAATTTAGATACGCAATACAATCATGCAAAATATGCAATATTAATGTAAAATCAGGAGTAAGTATAGGCTCAAATAAAGTAGTAAATAGAAGTAAATAAATACACAAT